GCAACAGTCTGCCTCCCCGTGGACACCAGGTAGGTGCCTTTATTCTTTAAGAAGAGAGGAACACTGAGCACCTTTGCCAGCCCTGACTCATTTAACCATTTAATTTTCTTTTTCTTTTTTTTGAAACGGAGTCTTGCTCTATCGCCCAGGCTGGAGTACAGTGGCACGATCTCGGCTCACTGCCAACGTCTGCCTCCAGGGTTCAAGCAATTCTCCTGCCTCAGCCTCCCAAGTAGCTAGGATTACAAGTGTGTGCCACCATGCCAGGCTAATTTCCTTATGTTTAGTAGAGACGGGGGTTTCACTATGTTGGCCAGGCTGGTCTCGAACTCCTGACCTCAGGTGATACTCCCACCTTAGCCTCCCAAAGTGTTGGAATTACAGGCGTAAGCCCAGCCTCATTTAACCTTTTGTCCTCAGCTTCTCCACTTCTCGGGGCTCAGAGTGAAGGTTGGGAGAAATGGGGTGGAGGATGTGGATGAGACTGAGATGGTCTCAGGATCACAGACTGCAGAGTTCAGCACTTTAAGGGAACTAAAACTGTGCCCCTCGGTGAACAGATGAGAGAGCTGAGGACCAGGGTGAAGAGGCTTGCCTGAGGTCATGGAAAGGGACTGGACACAGCATCCAGGCCTCCTGCCTCCCAGCACTCCGGGAGCCCTCTGGGCCCTTCAGAGGTAGGCAGGAATGGGAGGTGGGGTGGCTGGCCTTCACTGGTCCTGTAGTCTCTGCCTGCGGTCCACATCCTGCGACACCAGGTCTGGGTGGGAGGGATGGGAAGACTGGGAGCCAGTTTTCAAAAATACGGGGTGCAGTGGAGATTGGGCTAATCAGGCAAAGTGCTTTAGGGGAGACTGAGGCTTTACCCTTGCCCCACCCTCTCCCTTTACTGACCCGGGCTTGTAGGGAGAGAGTAAGTCAGGAGAAGAAGTTGGCAATGACATGGAAGAGGGGATTTGCCAAGGTGCCAGGACTCCCCAGAGTCCTTGGGAACAAAGAAAGAGATCTGAGTCAGAATCAGAAGTGGGAGCTGGAGAGGGGAACCCACAAACAGGGCAGAAGTGGCTGGAGCCCTCCTTGCCCCTGCCCTGTGCATCCCAACCACACAGAGTCCCGGGCCCAGGGACTCTCCTCACCACTTCCACCAAGAAAGAGCAAGTTAGAGGAGTGTGTGGGGCCGCGAAAGGCGCAGCTTTCAGGAATATAGGAGTAAACCCTGCCCTGGGACATCCAAGGGCAACGTGGAGCCTTAAAAGTGAGGGGAGGCTGAAGAGGAGCTTAGGGGCTACCTGCCATTTGCTCAGCTCCAGGTCCGTCCCTCTTGGTTCCAGAATCCCAGAAGGGGCAGAGTTGGACAGGGTTCTTAAATACGTGAAGCAGCAGCAGAGGCTAAAAGTGTGAGACCCTGGAGGAAGACCACCTGGGTTTAAACCCCAATTCACAGTTCGGGTTGTATGACCTTGGCAAATTCCTCAACCTCTCCAGCTCCGCAGCAAGAGCACCCTCGTCAGAGAACTGCTGAGAAAATGCAAGGTGTTTGGTATCTGTTATTGTTATATCCCCATCATACAGATGGGACAACTGAGGTCTGCCCAGAGAGGAAAGGACGCTTGCCCAGGGTGGCACCAAAGCTTTGTCCAAATTAGTAAGCAGGTATCCTGGATCCTGGTCGCAAGGGGACACCCAGCTCTCCTTGAGCTCTGCAAAGTCAGCAGCCCCAGCCTCCTCTGCAGGACACAGCCAGAAAACTCCTGTCCCAACAAACCCAGTCCACTTGGAGCCTGTGTGGAAAAAGCCGCGGTTCCGGCTCTGTGTCCTCAGTTGTCCCGGGAGGGCGGGAGCGCAGAGGCCGGCTCCCTTCCACTTCCATTTATAGAAAGCTTCCCGTGCCCGGGATGCCCCGCCCCCTGCAGGACCTGGCCAAGGAAAAGTCTGGCATCAGACCTACGGGAGCCGGGAGCCGTGGGGGTGTGGGGAGGCGGGAGAGGGGAAGGGAGCCTGGCTTTTCTCATGAAACCTGTGCGACCTTCAGCCAATAACGCCCCCTCTCTAGATCCCAGGTGACCCTCTGCACTTGAATTCCATGTGGCGTAAGGAATTAAGATTCCAAAATCCCACACCTGGGTTTGAATCCCAGCTCCACCATTTTTCTGGATGTGAAGCGTATTTCTTGACCTCTCCGAGTCTCACTATCTTCATCTGTAAAATGGACTGATAACTCAAAATAAATAAATAAGGCCAGGCACAGCAGCTCACACCTGTAATCTTAGCACTTTGGGAGGCCAAGGAAGGAGGAGCACTTGAGCCCAGGAGTTCAAGACCAGCCTGGGCAACAAAGTGAGACCCTCTTTCTACAAAAAATTCGCGGGGTGTAGGGCACAAGCCTGTAGTCCCGGCCACTCAGGAGGGTAGAATCACTTGAGCCGCAGGAGATCAAGGCTGCAGTGAGCCATGACTGTGCCACTGTACTCTAGCCTGGGCAACAGAGCAAGACCCTGTCTCAAGAAAAAAAAAATCAAGAGGACTGACAATAGGGTGCAGTACTTCCTCCAGCTGTGAGAGAATTGAGTTCCCAAATGTAACTCATCTGTAAACTACGTGGCACATGGTCAGCGCTCAATAAATGGAAGCTACTGTTAATGAGGCTGTTATACTCCGTAAGTCCTTCTTTCTAAGTACTATTTAGAATTGCCTAACTACCTTCACAAGGAGCACCTCACTGGTGCCATAACTCTCTGGGAGGGTGCAGGGCAGGAATTCTCACTCCCATCTCACAGATGAGGAAACTCAGGGTCAGAGTCATACCATAAGGAGCTATTTGAGCTAGAAGTCAAATCTAAATCTTCGGATCCCTGAGTCCATTTTCTCTTCTCCCAGGCTAGTCCCAGATACCTTTTCCAGTGCTAAAGTCTGACTCCAAAGCAGGATGTAAAGGAGGTGTCTTGGCAATGAGAAGAAAAAGAGTCGGGGGGTGTTGGTGGGGGCTGGGGACAGGCAGCAAAGCTCAGAGCACGCAATGGAAGTGCAACCAGCACACTGCAGCTCTGTACAGTTTTCTTGGCAGCCTCAGTCCCAGAACCTCTTACCTCCTTACCAAGCCCCACCTACAAGAAACTAGCATGTGGCATTAAGGTTAGACAATGGAAAAGACTTTTCACAGTCAGGAAAATGAAGAGGTTGGGACATCTCTTTCCCAAATGAGCCCCAAGGAAATGAATAGCATCTGATGATGTCACTCCCCAGCTCAAAACTTTTCAGAGGCTCTCTGTTGCCCCTCAGGGTTGAGCTGGCAGTCTGAGCCCAGCCTGCAAGGCCCTGCGGGATCTGGCCAGCCTGCCTCCCCCGCCCCATCTCCTCTATCCACCCCAGGTGCCCTGTTACTCAGGTGCTCAATAGTGTCTTGTGAGTTTCCCTGCTGGCCAGACTTTTGCACAAATGGTCCCCTCTACTTTATTTATTTATTTGTTTTATTTATGTAGTTATTTGATGTTTATTTAGAGACAGAGTCTCGCTCTGTCGCCCAGGCTACAGTGCATTGGCTCTATCTTGGCTCACTGCAACCTCTGCCTCCCAGCTTCAAGCAATCCTCCTGCCCCAGCCTCCTGAGTAGCTGGAATTACAGGCACGTGCCATCATGCCAGCTAATTTTTATATTTTTAGTAGAGATGGGGTTTCATCATGTTCGCCAGGCTGGTCTCAAACTCCTGACCTCAAGGGATCAGCCCACCTCAGACTCCCAAAGTGCTGGGATTACAGGTGTGAGCCATCGTGCCCAGCCCATCCCCTCTACTTTAAACCTTCCTCTCTGCCTCCTCATCCCTACCCATCTTCCACAGCTACCTCTTGCTTTTCCTGCTTATCTCCCTTTGCATGTCCCTTCCTCCAGGAAGGCCTCCCTAACCTCCCCCACTAAACTAGGAAAGTCCACTGTCCCTCCTCTCCTCCTCATGACACTGCTTACAGTTGTTCGCTCGCTTACTTGTCTGTTTCACCAGCTGGCCCAAGTGCAGGCACTCGGACATCAGGCAGCCGGGGGCCCAGTCCTTCTCTGACACTTGTTGGCAGTGTGACCCTTGGGCAAGTTACCTACCTTTCTGTGCCTTAGTTCTCTCCCTGTAAAATGGGATAATAGTACCTACCTTATACAGTTGTGATGAGGATTTTTAAAGGCTTTATATAAAAATACCAGAGCTTATGTGGATAATTACTCAGTAAACATTAAGTAGTATTTACTTAATAAACACACCTGGGATGTAGTAGATATTCCGTAAACAGCTACTGAAGGAACTTTATTTATTTATTTATTTATTTTGGAGACAGAGTCTCGCTCTGTCACCCAGGCTGGAGTGCAGTGGCTGGATCTCAGCTCACTGCAAGCTCCACCTCCCGGGTTTACGCCATTCTCCTGCCTCAGCCTCCCGAGTAGCTGGGACTACAGGCGCCCGCCACCTTGCCCGGCTAGTTTTTTGTGTTTTTTAGTAGAGACGGGGTTTCACTGTGTTAGCCAGGATGGTCTCGATCTCCTGACCTCGTGATCCGCCCGTCTCGGCCTCCCAAAGTGCTGGGATTACAGGCTTGAGCCACCGCACCTGGCCTGAAGTTACTTTATTTAATGATCACTTACATAATGGGCTTGTTTTGTGCCAGGCACTGTTCTAAGCACATTACAAATATTAACTTGTTTTATAGACAAGGGAACTGAGGCACAGAGAAGTCAATTAACTTGCCCAAGGTTATACAGCTAGTAGGTGGTGGAGCCAGGCTGCAAACCCAGGTCGTCTGGCTCCAGCATCCATGCTTTTAAATGAATGAATAAATTAACTCTTGTATGGAGGGTGGGGAGGCAGGGGCTTCACCTACAGAAGTTACTCCATTCCCACTCTTGGACTCTTTCAGGTCCTGGGAGCTTCTGGTTGGCAAGTGAGATCTCTGGGATGTCAGTGAGGCTGGTTGAAAACCAGAGGTAAACCGCAGAGGTCACCATCCCCACCACGTCCCAGGTGATGTCCAGCCCACTGCTGGCAGGAGGCCATGCTGTCAGCTTGGCACCTTGTGACGAGCCCAGGAGGACCCTGCACCCAGCACCCAGCCCCAGCCTGCCGCCCCAGTGTTCTTACTACACCACGGAAGGCTGGGGAGCCCAGGCCCTGATGGCCCCCGTGCCCTGCATGGGGCCCCCTGACCGACTGCAGCAAGCCCCACAGGCGGAGGCCAAAGCCACCTGCTTCCTGCCATCCCCTGGCGAGCAGGTCTTGGGAACCCCGGAAGACCTTGACTCCTACATTGACTTCTCACTGGAGAGCCTCAATCAGATGATCCTGGAACTAGACCCCACCTTCCAGCTGCTTCCCCAAGGGACTGGGGGCCCCCGGGCTGAGCTGGCCCAGAGCACCATGTCAGTGAGAAAGAAGGAGGAACCTGAAGCCTTGGGTAAGGATTTGGGGCACAGTACTAGGAGCAGGGCTTGGCGCCAGACCTTATGAGGAAGAAGGACTTTCCTATGTACAGAGAAGGGGACCCTGTCCTGTTGGGAGATACTGTGCAAACCTAACCAAGTTACTAACCCCTCTGTTTTCTATGCTACACAAAAGGGATAAATACAAGTTTCCCTCACCAGCCAATTCTATTTGCTTTCTGAGTTTGGAAAGTGATAGATACCAATTTTCTATGATTTTATGAGGACTCAAATAAGCTTCTATAGAAAGTGTTTTGTGCAGTACCATGCCCATAAGGAAGAGCTCAGTAAATGTGGATCCCTGACCCCTGCTGTCCTAGGGTGTCTCACTTCAGAGCCTCACCTGGGGCCCCCCCTGAAATGTTGGTAGGATTGCTATCTGGACCTCTGTCCTTGTTTAGGGGGGTATCTTTCCGGAGAGGCCCACACTGGAAATGGTAGGATAAGGACCCAGTAGCGTTCAAGCAGTGGTATGCTGGTGAATGTTTCCCTGGCTCCCTGGTTGGGGAGCAGGGGCAGAGGGAGCTGATTTGAAGCTTCTGCCCATTTCCACAGTGTAAATTCTCCCCCTCTGGCCAGTTTCAAGCTGCCAACATGATGTCACTGAATGAGGAGCTGGAGACACGTGGAGTAGCAGGCTGTTACACAGCCTTGCCACTACACCGACACGACAGATGGTCAATAACCCTGACAGCACAGACAATAATAAGGAGGGTGGGGAGACATTGTTGTAAAATAATTGGGATGTGATGAATTTTGAGTATTTATTACCTTTGTTTTTAATGGAAGTTATTTCATTGTAAGTGTACATAATGTAATTACTCAATGGCTGGGTTTAGTAACCAGCTGGACAAAATCCTGAAAATTTAACAATCAGCTCTTAACCAGCCGATACAAGCCAATTCCAGGGCACCACCGAGTCCAAAGGAACCTGGAAATTCCTACATCTGGCTTCAGTTTCCTGAACAAAGAGTTTCAAGGAAGCTCTTGATGAGGGTCAAGGAGCAGGCGCATTAGACAGGTTGGAAGACTGAGGCCTCCAAGGCTTTAAACTACCAGCAAGGGTAAGGGGGTGCATGATTAGGATTAGAGATAGGAGCCATAAGATATTCCACTTACTGGACACATATTATATATCAGGCACTGTGTTGAGCACTTTATGTGGAATCTTCAATCCTCTCAATCCACTCCCTGAGCTGATTTTTTTTTTCAATGGAGTCTCGCTGTCACCCAGGCTGGAGTGCAACAGCACGATCTCGGCTCACTACAACCTCCACCTCCCAGGTTCATGCCATTCTCCTGCCTCAGCCTTCCCAGTAACTGGGACTACAGGCACCTGCCACCAGGCCCAGCTAATTTTTGTATTTTCAGTAGAGACAGGGTTTCACCATGTTGACCAGACTGGCCTCGAACTCCTGAGCTCAAGTGATCCACCCACCTCGCCCTCCCAAAGTACTGGGATTACAGGCGTGAGTCCGGCCGAATATTTTATCTCCGTTTCGCAAATGAGAAAGCTGGGGTTGCTGGGGTTGAGTAAGGAGCCAGTCTAGCCTAATGGCTGGCGTCAGGCAGAGCTTTCACAAGCTGCTTGCTTCACCGCTTTGTGTCACGGATTCCTCACCCGAGAAATGGAGATAATGAGAGTTCTTACCTCAAAGGGTGTTATGGGGATTGAAAAAAATTACATTTGTTGGCTGCTTATCACAAATCCTGGCACACTATACGCTATTCTAAATCGTAGCTGTTTTTATTAAACATTGGGGTTGCACGTCGGGCTAGCCCCAGGGTAGGTTTGGGCTCTGAGGTGGAGGCCAGCCCAACACCCACGCCCTCTGGCACCCCGGGTTCCTGGGCTCCTGGGCTCCTGCCTGCTCTGCCCCCTTTCGCCAAGCATTGCCTGCCAGGCCTGTTAAAGAAACTGTCCCTCAAGGGTCTTCCTGTTTCTTAAGGCCAGTCATGGGCACGTCACTGCAGGAAAGGCGTCTTGGGCCTAATTACTGTTGGCAGGAGTAAGCCCAGGCTTTTACCATTCATGCCCCAGGACAGGAGTTCCACATATCCAAGGCCAGGTGGGGCAAAACCAGTCCCTGTGGAACATCCACACATGTTGGGTGAGGGTTGGTGACAACTGGGCCCTTCCTCCACGGAAGGGGCTCGTGGTCAGCTTAGGGCTGATGGCATGGGTCCATATCCACAGATGCCCCGGGCACCACATACCGTTGTGAACGTGTGTCCACCCAACTCTGGGGAACAGGGAATGTAAGGCAGGCAGTGGCCAGAAGGTCCTGAGGAAGCTGCCTCACTGCCCTGGCCCCTTCTGATGGAGAAAAAAAAAAATCCCTTCCTCTAACCTCTGCCTGGACACCTGCAATGCCTGGGAGTTCACTGCCTCCTAAGACAGCCCAGCCAGGTCAGCTCCCCATTGAGAAGTTTTCCACCATCACTAAGAATAGCAGGCACCTGCGCCCAAAATCCTCCCCGCAGACCCTACTGCTGGTGACAAAGCTCTCACTGGCCCATGGCAGCGTACAGCTCTGAGCATTGTGGTGAGTTCTCTTACCTCTAAATGTATTCAGAGTGGAGGATCCCCTGCCATTTTACAATCTCATCCTTCCTACTTTTGGGCTGTTCAAGGAAAGAACTCTGACATTACCGTGCTAGGAGATGTTTACTGTTCCTCTTCGTCCTAACGTGGAAATTTTTAAAATTAAACATTGGCAATTCTATATTGACATTTCCCCTAATATATATACATATATTTTTTTGAGACAGGGTCTCGTTGTGTTGCCCAGGCTGGAGTGCAGTAGTGTGATCGTAGCTCACTGCAGCCTTCAATGCCTGGGCTCAAGCAATTCTCCCACCTCAGCATCCCCAGTAGCTGGGACTACAGGCACATGTCACCATGCCCAGCTAATCTCTTTTTTTTTTTTTTTTTTGGGTGGGTGATGGAGTCTCTGCCTCCCAGGGTTCAAGCGATTCTCATACCTCAGACTCTCGAATAGCAGGGATTACAGGTGCCCACCACCATGCCCAGCTAATTTTTTTGTATTTTTAGTAGAAACGGGGTTTCACCATGTTGGCCAGGCTGGTCTTGAACTCTTGACCTCGCCCACCTCAGTGATTCACCCACCTTGGCCTCCCAAAGTGCTGGGATTACAGGTGTGAGCCACCACGCCCTGCCAACCCAGTAATCTTTAAACTTTTTGTAGAGACAGAGTCTCGCCATGTTGCCCAGCCTACCTCAAGTGATCCTCCTTCCTCAGCTTCCCAAAGTTCTGGGAATACAGGCGTGAGCCATGTCACCCAGCCCAGAATTTAAAAAAAAAAAACTATTCCATGTACCAGCCTGGCCAACGTGGCGAAAACCCGTCTCTACTAAAAATACAAAAATTAGTTGGGTGTGATGGCACGAACCTGTCATCCCATCTACCTGGGAGGATGAGGTGGAAGAATCACTTTAGCCTGGGAGGTGGAGGCTGCAGTGAGCCAAGATCCTGCCACTGCAGTCCAGCCTGGGCAAGAGTGAGACCCTGTCTCAAAAAAAAAAAAAGAGTCCACGTAATCCATGATCCCAGTGTCTGGCTTTTGAAGGAAATAGTGGAAACCTCCTGTTACAGATGAGGAAACTGAGGCTCAGGGTGGGTGTGTGATGGCTCACAGTCACACAGCCAGGGAGAAACAGGTCAGGCCTCAAACCCCAGCCTTCTGGGCTCCATAGGCCACTGTCCTTTCTCTCTTTCTAAAGTCTAGGCTTCTGCCCTCTGGGGCATCACAGAATTCATCAGGTTGGAGGCAGCCTGCAGGCTCCTCTTCTGAGACCTATCCTCCTGGGCGCTTCACAAACCTTCCCCAGGTTCCCTGCTCCTGCCTTCCTTTAAACTCGTCCTGGGGGCCCCCATCCCACAGGGAATGTGGTTCCTAGAAGCAAACACCATATCCCTTCCTTTATCCTCTCCAATGTCCCTCACCCCATCTTTGGAACAGGCCCCCACTTTCATTTTCCAGTAATTTCTGCCAGACAAGGCTGTTTACCAGCCCAAATGAAGGGGGTTTAATAACTGTCTCTCCACCCCTCACCTACATGCCCTCCCTCCACTCACCCACCTGCCTGGGGCTGGTGCCGGCATCCACCCAGCACTGCTCAGACTTGCCCCACAGGCCAGTAAACAGCGACTGCACCCCTGCGGTGGGTGGAGGCCCCCGCCCCACTCCCCCAGCTACACCCACCTTGGGACAGCCACGGGAGGTGAGCACGGGGCTGCTCCCTCCCCTCCCACTCTCCTTACTCAGCACTCCCAGCAAGGTCCCCGGTGGATGTTTAGATGACCCAGACTGGAGTAGGGAGCCCAGAGCTTCACCAGACCAAGAGATCCTCCCCAAAGCAGCCAAGCACCTTCTCACGGGGCAAGGCCTTGGAGCAGGGCTCATCCTGGAAGAAGCAGTCCCTAAACAGAGCTTAGCAACGCTCCCTGGCTGTGCAGCATCAGATAACTCACTTCACCTTTCTGAGCCTTCCAGATTTCCCATCTGTTATATGGGCGTTAATAATATTCCCTACTTCAATAGAGTTGTCACGAGGGTTAAAAGAGCTAATACAAGCAATGTGTTCGTAGTGGTCCTGGCACATTGCACCCAATAAAGACCAGTCTCTATGAAACATGGTTGTACACTAAGTGTTAGCTCCATCCCCACTCTTCTCCAAGCCTCAGTTTCCTCCTCTGTAAAAAATAATGCCTGCCTGCTCAAGGGCTGTTACGAGGTTCAGAGGAGATTATGGGTATAAACACTATAAAGTCCTATAAAAATTGAAGTTGTGCTTTCCAGCCTTCCAGAAGAATCCAGCCCATTCCAAGATCTCTTTTCTTCCGGAGCCCACCATACAGTCCCCCAAAGAGTCTCACCTTGCAGTCATCTTTCTAAGCAGAGAGATCCCCAACCTTAGCCAGAAAGAGGGCTCCATTTGGCCAATACTGCCCCCAAAAAGCAGGCAGGTAGGAAAGGCTCCTCTCTCGAGCCTCACCATGGGCCGGGCTCCAGGCTATCGTATTTCATCCTCATCACAGCCTTGGAAGACTGGTTTCAGATCCTCACTTTGCAGATAAGGAAACAGAGGCTCAGAGAGGGTCAGAAAGTTACACAATGCCCTTGGCTGAAAAGCAGCAAAGCCAGGACTCACCCCAGGTTTGTTTTGCTACAAAGCCAGGCTCTTCCTCCACCCGCTGAGCAGCAAGCCCCGGTCAGCTGCCAGCCCTTGCTCATCTGATGTAACTCCCCACCCCCTCCGTGTGGCCCAAGCAGGCTCAGACAGAGGCAGTAACCGTGAGCAGGGCCAGATGGCCCTACCCTGGAGCGGGCTGGGGCAGGCTGGGGCTCCACAGTCGTAACGGGGAGGAACAGTACATGTGCCAGGGCCCCGGGCAGGTGGGAGCTGAGGGTGCACGTTCTCCCCAATTTCCCCAGCCTCCATGCCAGGAAGCCAGAGGCAAGACTCACACTCTTCAGAAAAGAGCAGCTCATTAACCCCCACCTTCCTCCAGCTTTGCTGGAACAAGACCAAGGACAATTCCCCTCCCCCAGGTCAGGAGGAAGAGTGTTCATCCTCACCATAGGGAGAACAGCAGAGCAGCCCACTCCTAGGCTGACCTCGGGAGAGGAACGAGGCCTCAGAATCCCAAGAGTCCCGGGTGCCCCGACCGGGGAGTGGAAAGGGCGCTGAAGTGAGTCGGCAGCCTGGGGTGTGTTGGGTGATCCCTGTGTACCAGTTACGATCCCCCGGGAGATCCATAGCTCAAGAATGCAGCAAGCCCTGCGCTCAGGGAGTGCCTGCTCCAAAGCAGGGTTCTCAAACTCCACTGCATATTCACATGCCCTGGGTGGCCTCGCTAAAATGCAGATTATGTTTCCGTAGGGGTGGAGCCCAGGTGATATGGTCCTGCTGGGCCATTCATGGTCTACTGCACTCACCTGAAAAACTGGAAAACAAACAAAACTGAGGCCTGGGTTAACACCCTTGAGAGTTTAATCTAATTGGCAGGAGGCGCAGCCTGGGGTGAGTCTAGTGTGTAACCAAGCTTGAGAATCCCTGCTTTCATTGCAGGTACAGAAATATCACTTCGTTTTGTGTTGGTTTTTGTTTTTTTTTTTTTTTGGACATGGAGTTTCACTCTTGTCACCCAGGCTGGAGTGCAGTGGCACAATCTCGGCTCACTGCAACCTCTGTCTCCCCGGTTCAAGCGATTCTCGTGTTCAGCCTCCCAAGTAGCTGGGATTACAGGCGCACGGCTAATTTTTGTAGTTTTGGTAGAGATGGGGTTCGCCATGTTGGCCAGGCTGGTCTTGAACTGCTGACCTCAGGTGATCCACCCGCCTCGGCCTCCCAAAGTGCTGGGACTCCAGATGTGAGCCACCGCGCCCAGCCTCAGAGAAACCACTTTCACACACCTTGAGTAGCAGAGGCATCAGAAAGTATCACTGGTACAACCCATCAAGTGGCCATTTCAACCTAGGAAAAGGGCACAGACAAAGGGGAGGGTTGCCCAATTTTTAAGCACCTGCTCTGTGCCAAGAACAGTGCTGTGCTGCCTGCACAAGTGTCACTTCATCCTTTTTGTAACAACAAGAGGCTGGATGCAGTTGCCCCGCTTTACAGGTGTGGAAACTGAGACCCTGGGTGGTGAAGTCTTTTGGCCAAACTCTCTCAGAGAATAAGTAGCAGAGCCAGATCTGAAGCCTGGGTCTGTCTGATTCCAAGGCCTCGGTCCTCTACGGCATCTCCTCACCCAAGAGAAGTTGTCACAGGAAGGGTGACTTTGGAACTGGGCCCTGAAGATGGAGTTGGGCTCTCCTCTCTGCGCCTTAGTTTCCTCATCTCTATAAAAGAGGGGACAGAATGGCCTTGAGGACACTTCCAGCCTTTCTGTTTTATGAGTCCAGGCTCCTGTGTTTCACCAATGCTCTGCTTTTCTCCCCCAAAGACATAAAGTACATCGAGGTGACCTCCGCCAGATCAAGGTGCCATGATGGCCCCCAACGCTGCTCCAGCCCCTCTGTCACCCCACCCTTCGGCTCCCCTCGCAGTGGTGGCCTCCTCCTTTCCAGAGACGTCCCCCGAGAGACACGAAGCAGCAGTGAGAGCCTCATCTTCTCTGGGAACCAGGGCAGGGGGCACCAGCGCCCTCTGCCCCCCTCAGAGGGTCTCTCCCCTCAACCCCCAAATTCCCCCAGTATCTCAATCCCTTGCATGGGGAGCAAAGCCTTGAGCCCCCATGGCTTGGGCTCCCCACTGGTGGCTTCTCCAAGACTGGAGAAGCGGCTGGGAGGCCTGGCCCCACAGCGGGCCAGCAGGATCTCCGTGGTATCAGCCAGCCCAGCGTCTGATGTCAGCTACATGTTTGGAAGGTAGGTTCTGTAGCTTCTAACATTGCACACGCATACACACACAGGCATACACACACACACATCCCCTAAAATCATTGAAAGGCACCCTACTCTGAGCAAAATCTGGGCATGCACCAAAACCAAAAGGGAATGCCCTGCCTGGGCATCGCTTACAATCATCCCAGGTCAATTCTCTATAGACCTCACAGCAGAACTGCAGGCACATGCACACCCATTCTGCCCCAGGAAGACTGAACCACAGGACTCTGCTTCCCACTCCACCTCCAAAGCCACTGGCCAAGGCAGTCCCTGGCACAGAGGCTGGGGATTCCACAGCCATGCCCACTGGCACAGGCCTCTGAGTTCAGGGAGAAGTCTGGCTGGATGTGAAGCTGGCCTCCTCCTGCAGCTGGGGAGTTCCCTCTGCATCAGCCACGTTGTGGTCCAGCGTAGGTCCAGCCCATCTGCACGGCTCCTGGGAGTCATGGGGGCCTGGGGAGATCCTGATCCGACAGCTCAGTCACAACGACCTGGCTGGGAAGGCAGACGGAATGGGGGCCAGCCTATGCCCAAAGCCTGCAGGGGTCAGCTCATCGGCTACTTTAAATGACCAAAGACCCTACCATCCAGGGACATTTCTGTATCCTTACCATCCCTTAAGGATTAGGTGGGGGTGCACTTTGCTGTGGGCTGTACGGGGTGGGGTATGCAGTGTTCTATTTAGCCAAAGCCACGGGAACCCAGATCACCAGATCCAGAGCCTGGCTCTAGCCCCTGAGCCACCTGCTGCCCTAACAACCTTTCTGACTCTCCTGCTGCAGCAGCCAGTCCCTCCTGCACTCCAGCAACTCCAGTCATCAGTCATCTTCCAGATCCTTGGAAAGTCCAGCCAGCTCTTCCTCCAGCCTCCACAGCCTTGGCTCAGTGTCCCTGTGTATGAGACCCAGTGACTTCCAGGCTCCCAGAAACCCCACCCTAACCATGGGCCAACCCAGAGCACCCCACTGTCCACCACTGGCCAAAGAACATGCCAGCAGCTGCCCCCCATCCATCACCAACTCCATGGTGGACATACCCATTGTGCTGATCAACGGCTGCCCAGAACCAGGGTCTTCTCCACCCCAGCGGAGCCCAGGACACCAGAGCTCTGTTCGACCTGGAGCTGCTTCTCCCAGCAACCCCTGTCCAGCCACCAGGAGCCACAGCCAGACCCTGTCAGATGCCCCCTTCACCACATGCCCAGAGGGTACGTTGTAAACCAATATTTCAAGCAATGTAAGGTTTGGCTTGGGGGAATAGATAAAGTGCCAGTAGGTTTCTGCAACAGCCAGTCAACACATTTATTGAGCAACTATTGTGTGTCTGGTACTATGCCAGGTAGCGAGGACGCACAAAGGGACACAGTTTAGAAAGAGACAAACACAAATCCTCACAGTAGGGTAGGATAAATGTGGAGGTAAAGAGATATTCTCAATCATATGGGCCAAAGTAGAAGGAATGATTCTTTCAGTCTGGAGAATAGAGGAAGCGACATCCGAGCTGGATCTGTGAAGTGGATCAGAAGTTTGTGGCCAGAGAAGGAGAGGAAAGGCTTGCCCAGCAGAGAGAGCAGGGAGTCCACAGTCGGGAAGGTGTGGAAGCACATGGCATGTTCAGGAAATGCCGGAATGTTGGGTGCAGGTTCAAGTCATTGAGAGTAATTTGAAGCCAGATTGTGAAAGGCCTTCAATGCCAAACTAAAAAAAAAAAAAGAAAAGAAAAATGGAATTTGCCTTTTAAGCAATGGGGTACCATCAGTGAGCCTCACACAGAAAAGTGATGGGGTCAGAGGTGCACACTCAATGGATCACCCTGGCAGCTCAACGAATAGCAGGGGCCTGAACCGGGGTGGGGCAGTGGGGGTGGAGGAGAGAGGACAGAGCCAGGCGACCCTCAGGATGTGCTTGATGACTAACTTAAGGAGAGCAAGAGGGCGAGTCAGTTCTGACTCTGACGTTCATGGATGACGAGAACGCAGAGGGGGTGGATGGGGCAATAGAGACAATGCATTCCAGTTCAGACAGCTGAAAACCACAAAACAGCAAACACCCTCCTTCCCGGAGTCTGAGACCACAGGCGTCCAAGGAGAACAAAATCAACCAGAATCTACGGCAGTAAACACAGAAGCTAAGCTCTAGCACCCTCTGGATGCCTCTCCCATGAGCAGAGTCCCCTGCCAACCCCCTGCTCCCCCTCCCTCGGCCATCAGAGGGCTTCTCAGCCCCCACTTGGCCCTGACATTCACAGGCATCAAGGCAACTCTGGGGGAGTGGGGTGAAATGTTTACTATAGCCCACTGCTCAGTCCCACGCACAAAGCCATGTGGAGGCAAGCAGGAGAAAATGACACTTCCAGCATGCCTTTGCATCTGCCGTGATCGATTTCCTAGGACGAATCAGTTGCAGATTTCAGTACTTTTTTTTAATGAGTTACTTGAGAATAACTGGTCACAACACTCCTTTTCAAGCCGCCAAGGTTGACAGCTACTGCTCTCTGCCTTAGGGACCCAGAGAAATGGCCATTTTGGCATCTCAAAGAGTACATTTACTTAGCCTAGTGATATTCCCATCCTGCTTTGGTCCCATACTATCACTAACTGTACCCCCAGATCTTCTCAAATTCTGCAAAATATTCTCAAAACAACATTCATTTTAATTTCATAGGCAACTGGAACATTAAAGACCCTCAGAAGTTGTTTAGTCCACTTGGTTCCCTCTGAGCTTCGGTTATCCCATATCAGAGTCAAGACCCAGCCTCCCACCTCCCAGGGGCATGTTTTTCTGCCCGGATCTGCTATTTTCCTCTCCTTCACGTTTTCTGCCATTTTCTTTTCCAAGCGGAATATTCCCCTAAGGAATTCTTAAGATTATGAAGATGGAGGAGAATGTGATATCAAACATGAAGCATCTGAGAATTCCTTGTTTATCTCTTATTTCAGTCCTCACCAGGGGACTCAACACTAGATTTGAGAAGCCATTTCTCCTTAAACTAAGGTTGTATCTATTCATTTTTTTATTCATTACCAAGGATACAAGGGCACTTCTGAGTTCTAGATGCACCAAACCCTGGCATCCTTCTGTTTGATTTTCCCTCTCATAGGCAGTTTGGAGATACAATGGAGTTAGGGTCTGGGATGGTGGTCGAATGAGACCTTGGAGCAATAGAATAGGGAAGGGTCTCCAGCCTTCTCTGGTGAACATCCCTCAGCTCCCATCTGTCCAGCCTACAGGGTCCCCCTTCTCTGTCTGTCTCCAGGTCCCACCAGGGACATGCAGCCCACCATGAAGTTCGTGATGGACACATCTAAATACTGGTTTAAGCCAAACATCACCCGAGAGCAAGGTAAAAGGAAGCATGAGCGACCCCAGAATCGGATCTGGGTCTTGCACTTTGCATCAGGCAGGGCCCTGGGTTACAGTTAAGGAATGGCAAATAGTGGGTCCAGGGAAGCAGGGGAGGGGGATGTCCTGCTGACCTCATGATCTCCCAAGGAAGTAGGAACCACAGCAAGAGTGGTGGAGATTTGACAGTAGAAAGAACTTCCTGGGGACAAAAGGTGACTCTGTAACATCTGCTCTGTTACGGGGGACAGAGGGGGACAGAGGGTGTCCAGGTGGGGCGGTGTCCGTCTCTGACTCAAGGATTGTTCCAGCAATCGAGCTGCTGAGGAAGGAGGGGCCAGGGGCTTTTGTCATAAGGGACAGCTCTTCATACCGAGGCTCCTTCGGCCTGGCCCTGAAGGTCCAGGAGGTTCCCCCATCTGCCCAGAATCGACCAGGTATGCATCTGTCTCTGTGCTCACTCAAGGTCTCACGGAGGCAGCGGGGTGTGGTAGCTTCCAGTCCTGGCTCTGGCATTAGCTTTCAGGGTGACATGGCACCAGTCTTAAAACAGCACCTAGGAGAAGTGTCCACTCCAGTATTCTCTCCAATGCCCTCCAGCCCCAAGGCACCCTGAAAAATGCCTTTCACAGCAAGCCTGAGTGCTTCTGCCTTCCCGAGCCCCGCCCCCAGTTCCCTGCGAGGAGGGTCCCAGCCCCCCCTAGGCTGCTGTTTTTGGAGTCAAACTGGATTCATTTCCAGGGAACCTAATGTGTGATTACACGCGTAGCTAGCTTATCTCACGGGTGATAGCTTACCCCATGTGTGTATGAGCTCAGCACGCGTGTGTGTGATAGCTCTTATCACATGCTTTCCTGTGGTCTCCCACGCTCATTTGATAGCAAACATCCACGGGGCATCCGCCACACACCAGGCACTGTGTGAGGCTGCAGGGATACAGAGGAATCAGACCCAGACGCCACCTCACCAGGGAGACAGACGAAAATATGACTACAACGCAAAGTACCTGGGTCATAGGCCTCACTCAAACCCCAGGATTGCACCTTCTTATTTAATGGATGAGGTAACGGAGGCTCCCAGAGTTACTTAATGACCCCAGAGCAATTAAGTGATAAAGGGAGGATGAAACACCCAGCCTTGTGTTCTTGACAGTACGCCTCACTGTCACAATAAGAAAGTGACCTCTGAGGAGGGTGTTGCTTATAAAGGACGCCTTGCAAGAGGCAATGAACCCAGACTGAGGAGAACGCTGTGGATTGGTGGAAAGGAGTCAGAAGGTCATTGTTCGCCTCCCCCAGCCCCCCGCCCCCCTGCCACGCCCGGGGCCAGCGTGGCTCCAGCAAAGATGACCTGGTGGGCAGGAGGAGACAGAAACCAGAGCGAAGAGTCAACATTTATCTATACAATAATTAAGAAGTGTCCTTGCCAGGCACAGTGGCTCACGCCAGTAATCCCAGCACTTTGGGAGGCCAAGGCAGGATGATTGCTTGAGCCCAGGAGTCTGAGACCAGCTTGAGCAACATAGCAAAACCCTGTCTCTACAAAAATTACCCAGGTGTGGTGGAGCACACCTGTAGTCCCAGGTACTTGGGAGGCTGAAGCAGGAGAATCGCTTGAACCCAGGAGGTCTTTGAGGCTGCAGTGAGCCATGATCACACCACTGCACTCCTGCCTGGACCAAAGAATAAGACCCTGTCTAAAAAAATAATAATAAATTTAAAAAAAAAATTCCCTAGGCCTCTCTGTGTCTCACACCTGTAATCTCAACATTTTGAGAGGCCCAGGCAGGAGAACCACTTGAGCTCAGGAGTTGAGACCAGCCTGAGCAAAACAGTGAGACCTTGTCTCTACAGAAGAATTAGCCAGACGTGGTGGGGCACGCCTGTAGTCCCAGCTACTCAGGAAGCTGAGGTGGGAGGATTCCTTAAGCCCAGGAGGTTGAGGCAAATAAGCTAAGATCACGCCACTGCACTTCCAGCCTGAGAGACAGAGCAGAACAATGTCTAACAACAACAAAAATATCCCTGTTAACTCTTGAGCAACAGAAAGGTTTCCCCACCCCACCCCCAAAAAAAGAAGAAGAAGAGAAAGGTTTTCTGAAGAGGGTGTGGCTGCAGTCATTGAGCAGATGTGTTGGCACCTCCTCTGTGGGAGTGAGAGGCAGGGGGATGGACAAGGTGGCATTTTTTTTTTTTTTTTTTCCGGTGAGACAGAGTCTCACTCTGTCACCCAGGCTGGAGTGCAGTGACACAATCTTGGCTCACTGCAACCTCTGCCTCCCAGGTTCAAGCGATTCTCCTGCCTCAGCCTCCCGAGTAGCTGGGACTACAGGCATGTGAACCACGCCCGGCTTTTTTTTTTTTTTTTTTTTTTTTTAAATCTTTAATAGAGACGGGGTTTTACCACGTCAGTCAGGCTGATCTCGAACTCCTGACCTCAAGTGATCCACCCGCCTCAGCCCCCCAAAGTGCTGGGATTATAGGCGTGAGCCACCGCGCCCAGCCACAAGGTGGAATTCTATCCGAATGCACTTTCTTCTTTCTCTATCCAGGCGAGGACAGCAATGACCTTATTCGACACTTCCTCATCAAGTCTTCTGCCAAAGGAGTGCATCTCAAAGGAGCCGATGAGGAGCCCTACTTTGGTGAGATTCCCCAGCCTCCAGGCTCCCCAGGGATGGGGGACCAGCGAAGTCTCTGTTCTGAACTGTGGGGTGGGCTAGGGAAACTCTACTCATGCAGGGCTGCTTGCTTCCTTTCAGGGAGCCTCTCTGCCTTCGTGTGCCAGCATTCCATCATGGCCCTGGCCCTGCCCTGCAAACTCACCATCCCGCAGAGAGGTGGGTCTGGGCCCCAAAGAGGGAATGCCAAGGAGGGGGACCTGTTTGTTCTTACTAGAAATGGGGTTCATTTCTACCTTGTTGGTGGATTATTTTAGTGTCACGGTTAAAACTGTGTGTACTGGAGTCGCTCAACATCTCCACCTCCTAGCTATGAAAATTTAAGAATGTTGACCTCTCTAAGCCTCAGTTTCCTCATCTATAAAATGGGGACAATCATCATGGTACCTACTTATAGGATTGCTGTGCAGACTAAATGAGATAGCTCGAGCAAGGCTCTTAGCGCAACGCCTGGCATAGAATGGATGTTGGATAAATAGCAGCCTGCTTTGAGAGGAGGAAAGAGCCTAAATCAAATAGTTGGGAGAGCTTTTCTCTTTCTGGGTCCAATATTTGTTGAGCGCTCACTCACCCATTCATGCTTCACTACAAGCTTGTGAAGCAGACTTTGCTGTTATCATCCCCATTTCACAGATAAGAAAATAAGGGCTGGGCGCAGTGACTCATGCCTGTAATCCCAGCACTTTGGGAGGCCGAGGCAGGTGGATCACTTGAGGTCAGGAGTTCAAGACCAGCCTGACCAACATGGTGAAACTCTGTCTCTACTAAAAATACAAAAAATTAGCCGGACGTGGTGGTGGGCGCCTGTAATCCCAGCTACTTGGGAGGCTGAGGCAGGAGAATCACTTGAGCCCGGGAGGCAGAGGTTGCCGTGAGTCAAGATCGCGCCACTGCACTCTAGCCTGGGCAACAGAGCGAGACTTCATCAAAAAAAAAAAAAAAAAAAAAAGAAAGAAAGAAAGAAAGAGAAAGGAAGGGAAGGGAAGGGAAGGGTTCGGTTCTAGATGTTAAGTAATTTGCCCAAAGGCCCGCAGAGTCAGACTTTGAACTCAGATCAACATGCCCTATCCAGAGCGTACAGCCAGGTAGGGGGACAGCTCAGATGGAACAGATCATCTCAGGGGTATGCAGGAGAAGCTTGAGAAGGGCATCGGCGCAGGGGAGCCCCAGAGGAGCGTTGGTGAGAGCCTCCTCGCTTTCTGCAAAGACAGGTCAGGGGTTGGGATGGGGTCCAAAAGAAGTGAGAAGGTCAGGGGCCTGTGAGGACAAGATCATGGCAGCCATCTAAGAGGTAGGGGGGCGAGGAGGGGAAGAAGAGATCAAAAGGGTTGCAAACTAAGCATTTAGGGAGCCCAAAGTGGCCTGTTTGCCTAATTACGGTAATCACACCTGGTTTGAGTCATTTCCTGGAGATGGGGGTGGAGGTGGGAGATCTTCAAAGGGATTCATGAGGTCTGTTCCTGTGAGAGGGGTCCATTCACTCCACCCCCGCCCCTTTGGGGGGCCTGTTTCTTTGCCTTGGCTCAGAACTGGGAGGTGCAGATGGGGCCTCGGACTCTACAGACAGCCCAGCCTCCTGCCAGAGGAAATCTGCAGGTGAGTGGTACAGGACGGGAGACGCCAAGCTTGGCTGTGCCCCAAGAGGGCACCTCCCGACCCTGCCCACACGCACACATGCACGCACACACGCACAGGCCCACACGTGTTTCCCATCTCAGCTTCATTTGTGCATCTTTAACAAGGTGCCACTCCCCCCCCTCCGGTCACCCCTGTAAAACAAGATGAGAGGCCAGCAGGGAAGTGGGGTGGGTTGGGGGTGGTGGGGTGGCAGAACTTGCAGTCTCTCCGGCACGCACACGGGCACGTGCACATGTGCTAGAGTCTCTCTGGGTCTGAGGAGCCTGCCCTGGAGCTGTTTCCAGGTTTGGGATCCTCTATGGGGTGTCAGGTTTGAGTCCTCGAGCCTTCACCAGGGGAAAGGTCCCTAACCCACACTCCCAGAGGCCAGCACACATCGGCACTTGTCTCAGTGACAGCTCCTGCTCTATGCCCGGAGCACGAACGGCTTCCCTCCCCATTCTTGTCTTCTGTCCCTACTGTCGCCAATGAGCCAAGACCTTGAGGGTAGAGGTGTGGGGAGGAGGGCAGTCATTGAGTGTGGACAGAAGGATGTTTTCCTGGGCCCCCCTACACACAGGGCAACTTCCCCTCCCCTGCCCCATGCTGGAGGGCCAGGGGCCAGGGCGATGCAAAGCCACAGAAGATCCCAAAGCCCTCTGGGGTTGGCCTCAGACTGTGATCACCTACACACCCACTTCCTGTTGGGTGGCCCTAAGAGGAGCTCCACTGGATTCCTGAACAGGAGACTCACCCCCTCCCCTGGGCCTGGGTCAGTGGCCCAGCACAGTGTCTGCCTCCCACAGGCTGCCACACCCTGTACCTGAGCTCAGTGAGCGTGGAGACCCTGACCGGAGCCCTGGCCGTGCAGAAGGCCATCTCCACCACCTTTGAGAGGGACGTCCTCCCCACGCCCACCGTGGTCCACTTCAAAGTCACAGAGCAGGGCATCACCCTGACGGATGTCCAGAGGAAGTAAGGGGCTTCCCTTGCCCTCGGGCTGCGGGACTGGCGGCGTAGAGCTGGAGAGGGTAGCCGGGACATTCGCGGATCAGGGATGAAGGTCGAGTTCAGGGTCCTGGATGACCCAGCGGGGCCAGGGATGTGCTGAGTGACTCCAGGCAACTTCCCTGCCTCCTCCAGGCCTCAATCCACTGCCAAAGCCCCAGTTCATCGTGACTTGATGAAAATGGAGTTAACGGGGGCCGGGCGTGGTGGTTCATGCTTGTAATCCCAGCACTTTGGGAGGCCGAGGCGGGTGGATCACCTGAGGTCAGGAGTTCGAGACCAGCCTGGTCAACATGGTGAAATCTCGTCTCTACCAAATATACAAAATTAGCCAGGTGTGGTGGCGCACACCTGTAATCCCAGCTACTTGGGAGGCTGAGGCAGGAGAATCGCTTGAACCCAGGAGGTGGAGGGTGCAGTGACCTGAGATCACCCCACTGCACTCCAGCCTAGGTGACAGAGTGAAACACCACCTCAAAAAAAAAAAAAAAAAAAGAAGGAAAATGGAGTTAACTAGTATTCATGGGTGCTGATTATGTCTGCACCCATTGATGGAACATCTTCCTTAGGCCAGACTCTGGCTAACCACTGGAACCCGGAGAGAAATGAGATCGTTCCTTCCCCAGGCTCGGGATCTCACAGTCTAACAGGAGCCTGATCCAGGGCTGAGCACTTCACAGGCAGAAACAAGAGATGACCAAGATGTAATTCGTGTCCTCAAAAAGTTAGGGGACAAAAAAAAAGTTAAATGGCATGGTAGGGGTATGAAAGAAAACCCCAGAGTGTAAGACACAGGCAGGCAAGTCCCATGAGAGGAGAGAGGCAGGAGCAGGGCACCAGGGTCCCCCAGTGGGAAAAGCCGTAGCGGTCGTCGAGGTCTAACCCAGAGACTTCTTGGAGGACAGGGCACCTGAGCTTGGGGGGAACAAGAGATGCTGGAGGCAGGGTGACACTGGGACAGGTTCTCATCACTTCCCTTCTCTCCCCACCTCCTCCTAGGGTGTTTTTCCGGCGCCATTACCCCCTCACTACCCTCCGCTTCTGTGGTATGGACCCTGAGCAACGGAAGTAAGTTCAAGGCTGGGCCAAACTAAGAAGGCCGCCCAGGGCCCAGCTGCCCACCAAGGTGTCCTGACGACTCTGGGACTGGGATCCCAGAGGGAGCTTGTGAACCTCAAGGGGTCAGGGTGACAGAATGAGGGTCGGGTGGGGTGTGCTGGGGCGGGGACACAGCTGGCCAGTCCTGCGGCTCCTTCAGGGTCCTGTGGCATGGAGCAAAGCCTCATTACTCGGTATCGTGTTCTTTTCCTACAGGTGGCAGAAGTACTGCAAGCCCTCCTGGTAAGGCCTTCCTGTCTACTCTGTTACCAAAGAGGAGTCCCTGTCTCAGGGCCCCAAACCCAACATGGGGAGGGAACTAGAGAAGGAAAGAGGCCCCATTCTGACTTTAATAGTCCAAGGTGTTAATGAGGGCACAGGCCGTGGTCCTCAGGGAGCTTGCATCTGATGGGAAAGACTTTCACTGCCCTCAGAGCCTCTGGGCTGATAGGGGCGACATGAGCCTGGGAGCCCTCAATCTTCTGCAAGAGGTACAGGCTCTAACTTCAGGAAGCCTCAAGCTATTGGAATGTCCCAGTCTGATGATCAAGATGCATCTTTGCCCTCAGGGAGCTTCCACTCTAATGGGAAATGCACAGGTCCTGTCCTCAAGGAGCCCCCACTCAAAACAAACGAAACCCAGAGCTTGAACTTGGAAATCTCCCAGTCTGACAGGAGAGGCACCTTGTTCCTCAGGGAGCCCCATCTTAAGGAGGTGCTGGAGCCAATTGGCTAAGGGAGGAGCAGGGAGGAATGAGGTGCAAGCTGAGGGCCCCCCACTACCCCATTCCCACCAGCCTGATGCCTCCCTGGGTCCCACCCCTCACTCAGACTGCCCTCCCCCACCAGGATCTTTGGGTTTGTGGCCAAGAGCCAGACAGAGCCTCAGGAGAACGTGTGCCACCTATTTGCGGAGTATGACACGGTCCAGCCAGCCTCGCAGGTCATCAGCCTGGTGACTGCTCTGCTGCAGGATGCAGAAAGGATGTAGGGGAGAGGCTGCCTGTGCACCTTCCCAACACCTCCAGGGATTCACCAAGGAGCCCCCCTCCACCCCCTGAATGGGTGTGGCTTGTGGCCATATTGACAGACCAATCTGTGGGACTAGGGGGATTGGTATAAAGTTGACACCCTTGAACCTGCTATGGCCTTCAGCAGTCACCATCATCCAGACCCCCCAGGCCTCAGTTTCCTCAACCACAGAAGGAGACCAATAGACAAGATCAGCTGTTCTCAGATGCTGGTGGGCATTTGAACACCCTCCTGCATGATTCTGAAGCATGCCCACATCTGAAGACCCCTGCATGAAAATAACCTCCAAGAACCCTCTGACCCTATCGACCTGGGCTCTGCCAACACAATAGTCTGAGCGAGAGACCTGCAGCCCCTGTTTCAGGTGCCTGGCGTTGACCCACGGGGTATCTGGCTTGCAGCCAGTGATGGTCAAGGATTGACTACAAAACAGGAATGGATAGACTCTATTTCCTTCCATATCTGTTCCTCTGTTCCTTTTCCCACTTTCTGGGTGGCTTTTTGGGTCCACCCAGCCAGGATGCTGCAGGCCAAGCTGGGTATGGTATTTCGGGCAGCTCAGCAGGGGGAACTTGCCCCCCTTGGTCAGAGGAGACCCAGCTGTCCTGCACCCCCTTGCCGATGAGTATCACCCCATCTTTTCTTTCCACTTCTTTTTTTTTTTTGAAACGGAGTCTCATTGTCACCCAGGCTGGACTGCAGTGGTGCGATCTAGGCTCACTGCAACCTCCACCTCCCAGGTTCAAGCAATTCTCCTGCCTCAGGCTCCTAAGTAGCTGGGATTACAGGCATGTGCCACTCACCCGGCTAATTTTGTATTTTTAGTAGAGATGGGGTTTCACCATGTTGGCCAGGCTGGTCTTGAACTCCTGACCTCAAGTAATCCACCTGCTTCGGCCTCCCAAAGTGCTGGGATTACAGGCACGAGCCACCGCGCCCAGCTTCTTTCCATTTCTTGATAGGCGAATATTCCAAAGCTGGTATCGTAGCTGCCCTAATGTTGCATATTAGGCGGTGGGAGTAGAGATAAGGGCCATCTCTCTGTGATTCTGCCTCAGCTCCTGTCTTGCTGAGCCCTCCCCCAACCCATGCTCCAACACACACACACACACACACACACACACACACACACACACACACACGCCCCTCTACTGCTATGTGGCTTCAACCAACCTCACAGCCACACGGGGGCAGCAGAGAGTCAAGAATGCAAGGAGGCCGCTTCCCTAAGAGGCTTTGAGGAGCTGGGCTCTTTCCCACCCCCACCCCCACCCCCACCCAGCCTCCAGAAGCTGGAACCATTTCTCCCGCAGGCCTGAGTTCCTAAGGAAACCACACTACCAGAGTGGAAGGGAGGGTCAGGGAAGAAGCCCACTCTTGCTCTACGAGGAGCAAGTGCCTGCCCCCTCCCAGCGGCCAGCCCTGCCAAAGCTGCATTATCTTTGGCCAAGGTTGGGCCTGATGGTTATGATTTCAGCCCTGGGCCTGCGGGAGAGGCTGAGACCAGCCCACCCAGCCGGTGGTCGAGCACTGCCCTGCCGCCAAAGTCTGCAGAATGTGAGATGAGGTTCTCAAGGTCACAGGGCCCAGTCCCAGCCTGGGGGCTGACAGAGGCCCCCATATACTCCGCTACAGCTCCTATCATGAAAAATAAAGTGTTTGTCTTTGCAAAACAGTAAGTTCTGAGGCAGTCAGGGCTGTGCCCTCGGAGATGGAGACCTGAACAGAGAAGGGGGCCTGACTTGGGAGGGCGTGGCTGTGTCTTAGGGGAGACCAGGTGTGCCACACTCCCTCCCACACTCCTGGCCACGGCACTACAGGCTCAGCAGGCTTCCACGTCATAAACCATTGCTTAAACCACTGTGTCCCCCACACGCCCAACATGCTTGTTCTTCTTTCTTCATCACCCCTTTCCTGCCGCTTTGCCAGGGAAACAGGAGGATTGTGATTTCCTGGGGCCCAAAGTGAGTGTGTATGGTGCCCCTGATGGATTCCAAAAAAATCTCACTCAGCCCCCACTGAGAGGCAAGGAGAGGCGGGCAAAACAGGAACTCCTCAAGAAGAGTCCAGAAGAGTCCCCGAAACCAGATGCCCCAGAGCTGCCAGCTCCGCCCTGAAGAACCAGACTGTGGTTGGGTGTGCTGTCTCATCCCAGCACTTTGGGAGGCCAAAGCCGGAGGATTGAGCCCAGGAGTTTGAGAGCAGCCTGGGCAACACAGGGAGACCCTATCTCTACAAAAAAACACAAAAAGTTAGCCAGGTGGGGTGGCACATACCTGTAGCCCCGGCTACTTGGGAGGCTGAGGTGGGAGGATCACTTGAGCCTGGGGGTTCAAGGCTGCAGTGAGCTGTGGTTGTGCCACTGTACTCCAGCCTGAGTGAGAGTGAGACTCTATCTCAAAAGGAAAGAAAAAGAACTGGACTATGGCCTCTTGATCCCACCCTGGGCGTGGGGAGTTCTACCCCCAGCTCCTTCCAGTGGCAGTCCTCCCCTAAACCAGTCCCAGAGGAATGCCCCCCTCCCAGACCTGCTCCAGACTTCACTGCAACTAGGAAGCCACGGCTGGCATGCCCTGAGAAGGCCTCAGCAAGCGATGCAAGAGAGGCTGTGGCACTTCTGTTCTCCTAAAGAGCTTTGGGAACGGGAGAGCCCCTCCTTCTGTGTGGGCTGAGCTATGTGACCCAGTGGCAGCAGCCTTGAACCACTGCCTGGTAGACCCTGCCTCCCTTTCCACTGCCCCAGTGCAGTTCCAGATGGAGACTCCTCTCAGTCTCCTGCTCTGGCCCTGCTTAGCCCAGCATGGAACAGAGTTCGTGGAAGGCGATCATTTCTGCTGCATTTGCCACAGCTCATGTTTCCCCTAAGAAGATTTAGCAGAGAACTTAAGACTTTTGCTGAGGGCAAAGCAGCCAGCCCGGCAGGGGCTGGACGGCTGGACAGGCTGGGAGGGCTGGACGGCAGAGAGGAGGCAGGACAACCACCGAGCCAGGAGCCAGGAAGGGAGGAGCCACCCTCCTATCCACCCAGGAACACCAGAGGAGTTTTCTCCAGGAGGCTCCAGGCCTTATAGCCCTCGGTCTTTTTTTTTTTTTTTTTTTTTTTTTGAGACGGAGTCTCACTCTGTCGCCCAGACTGGAGTGCAGTGGCCAGATCTCAGCTCACTGCAAGCTCCGCCTCCCGGGTTCACGCCATTCTCCTGCCTCAGCCTCCCGAGTAGCTGGGACTACAGGCGTCCACCACCTCGCCCGGCTAGTTTTTTGTATTTTTTAGTAGAGACGGGGTTTCACCGTGTTAGCCAGGATGGTCTCGATCTCCTGACCTCGTGATCCGCCCGTCTCGGCCTCCCAAAGTGCTGGGATTACAGGCTTGAGCCACCGCGCCCGGCCTAGCCCTCGGTCTTAACCCCTGCCGCAGCCCCCGCTCCAGTGTCTCTCTCCCCTGAGTCTTTTCATCCCTCCCCATCCCTTTCTTGATCTCCATACACACACATACCACCCACCCTCCCTCCCTCTCTTCTCCCACTTCCTCTGTCTCCTTTCTCACCATCTCTCCTCATTATGTCTTCTCTACTCGATCACCCCTTCGCAGAGAAACTTTTCCAGCTTCTTGCTCTTTTCCAGTTGAATTTCCTCGCCCCTTTGTCCCAGGTGGCTGGACATGCAGCAGAGTCCAGCTGCTGTTGGAGTTCATGAGAAGGGAACCGGGAAGCCTCTCACACTGCCAATCGTTTCTCAAAACTTAGGTTCCAGTTTGAGACCAGCCTGGCCAACATGGTGAAACCCCGTCTCTACAAAAAATACAAAAATTAGCCGGGCATGGTAGCGCACCTGTAGTCCCAGCTACTCGGGAGACTGAGGCATGAGAATCCCTTGAACCTGGGAGGCGGAAGTTGTAGTGAGCTGTGATCGTGCCACTGCACTCCAGCCTGGTTGACAGAGCAAGACACTGTCTCTAAAAACAAAAAACAAACAAACAAAAAAACCTCAGGTTCCCACACCCACAAACCCTGCCTCCTCTCAGGCTACAGAGACCTCTTCAGGAGACTGAAGTGCCCTTACCCCGACCATCTGACCAGCCACCACCCCATGCCCGTGACCCACCAAGGGCTGAGGCTGCTCACTGCTCTGTTTTATCTTTGGCCTCTGGTCCTTCACTCTTGTGCCAGGGCTTAGACCCAGGGCAAGGTCTTAGACCCAGGGCAGGGGCAGGGTTAAAGGCTTTCAACCCAGGGCCAATGCCTTAATTCATGCAACAAATGTTTTCTGGCTGTGTGCTTTATTCACGTGAACCAGGAAAACAGAAAAATATGACAGTGTTTCTAACAGAGGTTTACAAGTGCTATGCAGGGCTGGCAGAAAGAGTAGAAACCGGAAAAGATAAACTTTACCCACTTGAAGGGAAAGAGGGCAATGTTACCAAGAAGGTAACATTTGAGTTGGGTCTTCAAGGATGAATAGGAGTTCAGCATGCAAAGAGAGGTAGAAACCAACTTTTAGGAGGGGGACGGGCTCTCATGTGCTACATATAATCAGAGGCACATTATATATGCCTAATCCCATTTTACAGGTTAGAAAACTGGGGCTCAGAGGGTTAACTTCTCCTAACTGTAAATGGCAGAGAAACAGGATTTCAAGTCCATGCCCATCCTATTGCCCCAGCGTTCAGAGAAAGCAGATGGAGACATTCGTGTGTGAAGCACACAGGTATGAAAAGATGTACCATGTTTGATGTGGCTCAAGTACATGGTACCTAAGGGAGTAGGTGAGAGAGAAAGCAGAAGAAAAAGGCAGCAACAGGACCCTCAGGACCCTTGGGTGCCAGCTGAGAATGTCTGGAGATTGAAGACTTGCTGAATTAATGAGGTGGGACTCAGGCCTGCCGTTTACGATTTTGTAGGCTATGCAGTGCATGGTCATACATGGCACCCTGCTTCAGCTTTATCCCATAGGTAATGAGGATGAGGTAGGAAGCAGGACTGGACTCCAGAGGCAGGGCTTGGACACAGGTCCAAACTGAGGACTAGCTAAAACAGGGATGAGGTAGGAGGAGCTTTCCATAAGACACACCCGCCAGTGTGACATGTCAGTTTACCATTGCCATGGCAACACCCAGAAGTTACCACCCCTTTCCATGGCAGCAACAACCTGATGACCCAGAAGTCACCACCCTTTTTCTACAAATCTCTGCATACTCTGCCCCTTAACTTGCATGAAAAGTGGGTGCAAATAAGAGTGTGGAAGCTACTGAGCTGCAGCTCTCAGCACACTGGGGTAGCCCGGCTCTGCAGGAGCAGTCACGGGATTGTGACACTGCCACCTCTAGAAAGCTGCTTTCTTCTACCACCATTTGCCCTTGAATTATTCCCTGAATGAAGCCAAGAACCCTCCCAGGCTAAGCCCCAATTTGGGGCTTGCCTGCCCTGCATCAGGGAGACATTTCAGCTGAGGAGTAATTGA